TTCTGGTAGTAAAAAGTACTGGCATTTCAATCGTCTATTTGACTAACAAGTTGAATATACTTTTTATCAGTTAAGTTAGAAGGCTGGAAGTTTTTCGAACCTTTCTTTATTGGCCGGAACTTAGCAACAACACCCCGACGAATTCTGTTCCTTTTCCCCGGACTATCAACAAAGTTCAACAAAGGTAATTTCGTAAAAAAAGATATCCATAATAGCCTTCAAGAATATATTTGTTTTTATTATTTATTTGTTTTACTTTTACCCTGCATATACTACAAATATGAACACAAAAGTTTTTTCACACTGACACATCACTAATACTAATGGCATCGCTAACCCGGAGGACATATGCCATGAGAAACTAGCCAATGCTGGCACCCAGTGCGAGGAGTTAAGGTACAAGACAAGAGGCCATCGTCGACTAAGGCGACATGGCCGGTTCTCGGGATGGGAACGTGTAGTAGGGAGGGTGGATCGAGAGTCGGTGTGAAACTTTCGGAATCGGGAAGAGGTTAGTGACGTAGTAAGGAGCTTTGATAATTCGTCTGAGTGTTTTTGATAGGAAGGATTGGATCCGCTGTATGTTGGATGGTTTATCAGAACACCGCAGTTCGATGGTCAAAGCAGTCGATCTAAAGTGGTCGCAATAAAGCCACGTATAATGTTATTTTAGTGTTGACGGTCAATTGTCCAAGTCTTCTGCTAAGCCGTTATCTGTGTAGAGTCCTAAGAACTTGGATTGCATGGAAATCAGTTGGTGATGTACAGAGCAGACAAGACTGGTCTTTCAATGTGTACGTACAGTGAACACAATTTTCTTTATTCAGTGATAAGCTCAAGGTGTTCTTGGATGTTGGAGGTTGCTACTTATAATGCTTTCCTTCTTACAACTAATTTCCTAACCTGACCTTTCTCGTACGGTCCTGTAAGTCTCCTAAGTATCCCAGGAAAAATACTTGGGAAGCTATTCCTATCCTATGCAAGAAATACTACGCACAACCTAAATTATTTCTTAATTAATTCTTCGTGTAGTAGAAGTCTGCCCCGTAAACTTTCTTCTTTAATTATTAAGAAAGGTTGAAGTTCGGTAGCTAACGTTTTAGGATGAGATAGTATGTATGGAAAGGAAGGATTTGAGTTTCAGAAGTAAACTGTCCCAGCTGGATCGAAGTCAGAGGATCCATCTGGTAAATTTTACTTGTTCAATCTTTTTGATTCGTTCTATCCTCTGGTGTTCCTCAGGAAACGTTCAAGATCTGTTACTTTTCAGTATATACACTGTAGACTTTCCTTGTACACACTCGTCATCTATAGATTAAGAGTCGTCTTTTTTAGCTACTACCTGATCCTCAAACGACAGATACTTTCGAATCAAGCCCGGTTTCTCTCCTAGCTATCTTACAGATGCAGGGGTATAGCAAGAAAGCATCGTAGGAACCAGTCATTCAGTTTGCCCTGACTTTTTGCGCCAGTCTTCGATAAGCTCAAGTTCTTGGATGTTTGAGGTAGTTACTTATAACGCTTTCCTTCGTACAACTAATTTCCTAACCCGACCTTCCTCGTACCGTCCTGTAAGTCACCTAAGTATCCCAGTTAAAATACTTGGGAAACTATTACTACCCCAACTGCAAGAAATACTATGCCCAACCAAAATTATTTCTGACTAGCCAATTCTTCGTGTAGCAGACGTCATCCCTAGATCGTAAGCAGTTCTGCCCGTAGTCTAGTTCGATCTTTCTGGGATATTTTATTTCTGAAACTCAAATCCTTCCTTTCCATACATACTATCTCATCCTACAACGTTAGCAACCGAACTTCAACCTTTCTGAACCATTCTATCCTCTGGTGTTCCTCAAAGAAACGTTCTAGAACAGTTACTTTTTCGTATATACACTATAGACTTCCCTCAATTCTCTGAATATTAAGATACCTCTTTTTTAGCGACTACCTGATCCTCAAATCGACAGATATTTTCAAATCATGCCCCTTTTATCGCCTAGATATCGTACAGATGCAGGGGTATCACAAGAAAGCAATTTAGGACCAGTCAGTTTTCCCTTCGACTTTTTGCGCCAGTCTTCGACAAGCTCAAGTTCTTGGATGTTGAAGGTAGCTTGATGGATTTGAGTTGGAGGACAAAATTTCTGTATCGTTCGCGCAGTGGTGTGGTTTTAAGGGGTATAGATCAGCATTATAAAAGATATAAAGGATGGGATCCCTTGTGGGACGCCAATTTTCTCTGTCTGACTTCTGAGAACTCGTTGCCGCACCTAACTCTCAAGCAGCGGTTAAATACTATTTCAGGATAAAGTATTAAGGAGTGGATAGGAAGTACTTAAGTTTATAAAACCCGTTTAAGTGTAAAAAGCCTGTGCTTCATCTAGGAACTCAAGCAATACTCTTCATTCTCTAGAGTGCAGGCGTCGACAACTTTTAAACCGATTTGGATTTTGGAATGATGAGGACGGAAGACCCAGGACCAAAAATATTTAATTGTATCAGATTAGATCGTAATCACGGTTATCAAATATTTCCCGTAGGAAAGGAGTAAAATTTCAGTTTTTTGGGTCTATTTTTTAAACTCCGGTTATCAATAATTCGCTAACAATATAAGAATGAAGCATCGCAGGACGGAAACCGATAAAAGGGATTTCGAGGCGCTTTTTTTCCTTCGGTCACCTCATATCTTCATTTTTCAGAATGGCTTTTATGACTTGTTAAACAATATAAAAGTTTAGTGGCCATGCTCTTTAAAGAGATTTCATCCAACCAATTCATTTCTTCATTTTTCATCATTCAACAAACGTTTGAACTTATTTGGGCAATGTGCTCACTTATCGTATCACCGAATGCAGTACAAATTTTACCAGATGCCTCGCCTAGTACTGAGGGTAAATTCGCATAAAGTAGACCGGGTATCACAATTTTGGTCTCGAGACCTAGTCTAGCGATTGTCTATAGACCGATTAGGTCGATTGTAGATGGTGTCGAGACCATTATGAGACAAAAATCGCTCAACTTTGGTCTCCCAACGGAAATGGGAGACCTGAGATCAACATTACGCGAGGTTGCGCAACATTGCCAACTGCGGACGCTTGTTATACCCGTAGAGTATCAAGAACACACCCAAACTCGATTCACGTGCTCTTTCTGTGCATTTTTTAGTTTTTTACGCCGAGAATGTGGTCCAACGAAAAAGTGTTACTTCTTGAAGAAGCCTACCACATTTCATCGTGTTTACGTGACGTTACTAATCCCGTTTACAAAAATCCATACTCAAATCTCAATTTCATTAAGAGATTATAACCAAACTTAGGTCCCTCCGAAAAAACCTCGCGTGCCCACTAACGTTTTAGTGGGAAATGTTTCTCCAATACTAAATTGAGACTTGTTTGTAGGTGTGGACTTGACCAAGTCTAAAGTCTCGAGTCTTGGTGTTTAGACATTGTCTGGAGACTGTCTACATGTTGAGGTCTACCAGTGTATACTAGCCTAAATACGAATTTACCTTTGTAGCAATGAGAAAGAAAATATTTTACAATTTATAGTGAACTGCTCAAAACACCTCTTGGTATTGCGTGATGAAATCAACTGAACGGTCATCATCCTCGTTGTTTTGTTCTGGCATAGGTAGCTTAGATGGATTGAGCCGTCTGGTTCAGTGGACGTTCATTGGCGAATTGACGCAAAAAGGAGCCAGGCCAACCCAGCAATTATTAAAGTTAATTATTTTAGTCTGCGGAATGATAAAGTACTCTGGCCCTTTTTGACCATCCTGTCCGCCTATCTTAGCGGTATGATGTGGCAAACGACTTTTAGATAGATGTGACCATCCGATGCAGTGCTTGTTCCAACTACCAATGGTTAAAGTAATTATGTCTGAACGTTCATCATCTTGGACCATCATCCAAGCAGAACCATAGGGTACAGTGGTCGTTCATCCTGGAAATTCTTTACTACTGATGAGCCAATTATTTATCAAAATTGGAGAAAAAATCACGTCAACCAAAACTAAGTCGACAAATTTTCAAGATGGATAATTTGTACTTCAGTCGTCTCCAATCATTACGATTCTTCCCATAGATTGATTAAGATTTTAGGATTATTACTGATTTAATATTTTTACTGCACCTTTAACTGCATTTTTAAGGCTTCTAGTGTACTAATAGATTTCCGTTGGTACTAGTCAAGTAGATCTTCTGATATATTCTATCCTTTCTCGACCATTCCCCTAACGCGTATTCTACAGAAGGGTTCTGGCTGCTGTTAACCTAACAAATTTTTGCATCATTTCTCTTGGTTTGCCTAATCTTTCTGGTATGTACTGTTAGATTATGTCATCATGTTCAGGGTGTATTTATTAATTTCGAAATCTAAACTCCAATTTGTCTAAACTGTACGAGTTCAAACAAAAAATGGCAAGTACAGATGAAAAGATGTAAATCTCTGAATAAATCCTGCATTTTCGTCGCGGATGTGGTTCAGTCCTTTGAAGTAAAGAACCAACCAAACCACTGCCAAATGACATCTCGTTTATATTTGGTTATTTTTAATCTCTAAAAAACTTTGGTCAACAATGGAATGTTAAACGTGTATTCATAACATTTTCAAAGGCTTTGACTATGTATTCTATTCTGTACAATTCCAGGCTTCATTCGGACGGTGTTTCACAGTTCGTCCCAACCGAACAAAGAACCCCTGGTCAAAACAAAAGCCAGAAAACAATTACTGGACGTCGAATTGTGTCCTTTACATGATCAACAAAAATATTAAACATGGGTGTAATATTATCTCTAAAAAAAAAACCTTAAAAAATTGTTCTCATAAAACAGGTGTCCATAGTTACTTTATATAAACATATTTCTGTTAATATTGAAGAAACATATGTAGTTAAAAAAAAACTTTTACACCTACTTAATTTTATTAATAAATGTTTTGAAAGTTCAAAGTACAACCAGGTGTATTAAAGGTAGAATGTTAATAGGAAGAAAGGTACTCACCCTCTCCATGTCCATGAAATCGACGTCGAGCTTGGTTCCTTCCGCGCCTCCCATTTTTTCCGTCATGTACTGAAAGAAACGATTGAACCAGGTCATTGCAAGGCATGTACATTTTAACAACTTAAAAGCTAAAGTTTCAAAAGCATTTGCCGCCGTTTGAAATGGTATTTGAGAGAATTGTACGCCGAACGGGCGACTATATCAATATGGCAGTGAGGGGGCATGGCATCTGTTATCCCGATAATTCCAAAAATTGCCGCCTTTCCGTTCGCTTTCAGGGAATTGAGAAGAAATGCCCTTCAATACTTTTCAAAGTGAACGGTTAACACTGATACAATTTAAATTTTAAAAAAATTACATTAAAGAATATTTACTAATAGCTTTAACCAAAAAAGTCTTATTTGTTGACAATGTTTTCTAAATGATAATATGATAAACGAGGCAAAATGCTTAAAGTTAATTTTTCTATCGTGTTTAAAACTATTAAATAAAAACGAAATAAGTTCGATATTTTCGTGAATATTTGCATAGAATCTAACTAGATGGTACTGAATGATTTTTAGACATATTTTGTCAAACTGATTTGTATGTGTTATACCACCAATAAAATTTAAATTAAAAAAAAATAGTTTAAAAAATACTTACTAATAGCTTTTACTAAAAAAAGTATACTTATTTGTTGACAATGTTTTTAATTGACAACAAACGAGACAAAATGCTTAAACTTAGTACTACTTTTCTACTGTGTATAAAAGTATTAAACATAAAAAAAATTAAGTTCGATATTTTCATGAATATTTACATAAATCTAGAATTAGAAAGTACTGAGTGATTGTTAGACATATTTTGTCAAACTGATTGGTATGTGTTATACCACAAATAAAATTTTAAAAAAATAGTTCAAAAAGTACTTACTAACAGCTTTTACTAAAAAAGTATACTTATTTCTTGACAATGTTTTTTAATTGACATCAAACGAGGCAAAATGCATAAAGTTAGTACTACTTTTCTATTGTGTACAAAATATTAATTTAAAAAAAAAATAAGTTCTATATTTTCATGAATATTACAGAGAATCTAGAATTAGAAAGTACTGAGTGATTTTTAGACATATTTTGTCAAACTGAATTATATATGTTATAATTTTTTATTACTAAAAACTATTGTAATGTCGTTTTCCCGTTCATAATCATTATTGATCAACAGAGCTGAAACACAGGTTCCAGCAGATCGCACCTTCCAACGACTTCATCAGAGGGTGAGGGGAAACTGGTTCTTTCACTCTTTCACAAACCAGATTTTTCTACAGTTAGTAATTCTAAAGTTTATAAGCAATTTAGTAGATCTAAGTCGAAAAATTAAGTAGCACCAAAACCTGAAAATACTTCTTTACCGTTGAGATTTGGACAGGGGTTTATAGAAAGTTTTTTGTTGCTTATGGTGATTAGAAATACCTCCTGAAATTTTCGAAACTTATCGCCAGTCACCTTGTATAGTGCTGATGTAGTTGTTTACCACTAGTGGGTCTGGTGTGAGAGGGTCGATGGCGCAATATCGAGTACACATCCTGATTGAATCAATGGTATGTAAATAGTAAAGAATACATTTAAGAATGAATGAGAGTGTGAATGGGTTTGGATCTAGGAACTGCGCGCGTTGGGTGGTGAAGTGACCTAGCTGTTGATAGCACTGCGGATGGACGGACAAGACCGAGGTCCGACCCGGGACTGCCAACACCCGGGTGTGGGTGATTCTCAAGACATTCCGGTGATTTATTGTAATCTAGAAAACTTGACTTCCGGTGGACTGCAAGAAGAAATGGAAGCTCAACTCCGAACAAATGTGCACATATGAACATACGTGCAGATTTGTGCTTATAAAAATCTAAATCCTATCCAAATTCATGTAGTACATTCGAGAATCTTTAGATTGTTTTAGATATTTAGGTGGAATCTGTTCAAATAAATATTTGGATGTAATGGTAATCTTTTAAATAATATAAAAACGGGAATTTAACAAGTTATAACATTATAGTTGCTAGAAGAATCATGGGCGCGGACAAGTAAAAAACCTAATTTTGACGATTCAACGAATAATAATGGAACCTGGCCAGATGGAATCTTTATACGTTTCCATGAAGTTAAACATTACAAAAAAAAAAACAATATAACTTGGAGGACATCAGTATAAAATTTTCTCGGCTGGGGAAAAACGAAGTTAAAGAGCCAGTCGGTTGAACTTGAATAATTCATTGCTTGCACAATGCCCTGAGAAGGTTTCGGAATTGAAAGTCCTGGCCACAGCCATGATACTCATGAAGGCAAAAAAAAATCTTTGCGAAATATCGTTTTCTAAAAAGTTATCCTAAGTAACAAATTCTCTCTGATGTAGGTAACATCACCCTTCAATATTTTTATTTGAGTTGCGTCTGGTGTGACGTACGGTTAGAAAAATATTTTCTTTATCGTTCCAACGTTTCGATCTTTAATTAATAGAATAAGAATATATTAAAGTCATCCCTTTTCATTTTTAAGCAGTTGATATACAATAATAGGATTTAAACTGCACGTTACTAGGTGGTCAAAAATAAAACAGAAAAGAGCAAGGGAACGACCATACTGCAAAAAATGTCCAAACCCCAAAGATTAGGATGCCTCATCACTGTTGCTCTTAACACAATCCCCTTGAATTTTAATATAAAATTATAATATTAAAGTGTGTGGTGTTTAGTGACCGTTAATTAATTATTATTTGGAGATGGTGAAATGTAGTCGGGTGTGATGTAGGTCTTAGAAAAACATTTTTGTCGTGCCAACGTTTCGAACTTTATTGAAATCATCTTCAGGGCTCAAAGTGTTTGTTTTCTGTAGATGTGTCATTACTGTGTGTCGTGTTGAGATTGCCTAACAAAAACAAACACTTTGAGCCCTGAAGATGATCTCAATAAAGTTCGAAACGTTAGCACGACAAAAATGTTTTTCTAAGACCTACATCACACCCGACTACATTTCACCATCTCCAAATAATAATTAATTAACGGTCACTAAACACCACACACTTTAATATTATAATTTTATATTAAAATTCAAGGGGATTGTGTTAAGAGCAACAGTGATGAGGCATCCTAATCTTTGGGATTTGGACATTTTTTGCAGTATGGTAGTTTTGTGCCCTTTTTTGTTTTATTTTTGACCACCTAGTAACGTGCAGTTTAAATCCTATTATTGTATATCAACTGCTTAAAAATGAAAAGGGATGACTTTAATATATTCTTATTCTATTAATTTTAATTAAATTCTTATATTATGATATATTCCTGTTCGTCGGGTAGAACATAATGAAAAATACAAACAAATGTTAATCCTCATTTTTAATAATTGATTTTCTTAAGAATATTAAACATGAAGTTTGGTCATTTTGTAAGAAAACACCTTTTATCTATTTTCTCCATTTTAATCTGGCTGTTTTTCTGGTATGTGGAACGACATCTTGTACCAGAAGTTCGCAATATTTTTGTCAGAATGAGCCAACGAGGCCACCGGCAAGAGGATATCGTAGAAGCAGTTGCGCTTCTCAGAGCGTGATCTACCGGACTTTAGCCTGATTCGGAGAGACTGGAAGAATTGAGAAAGAAGAGAGACTGGAAGTTCCTATAGGAGGTCTGGTAGTGGATCTCAGCGCATTAACAGGGGGACAGAAATATTGTCAGTATTGCAAGGCGGATCTCTTTCCATAGTGCCCGCCAGATTCTAAATGAGGTACAAGAAGTTTTGGCAAGGCCTTTATCAAAGTTGGCCTCATATCGTATGCCCTTTGAGACGACTTGCAGCAACAGCCTGCTAATAGCAACTTAGGAGGATATGGTTCATGGAGCACCTAGAAGAAAACACCAATTGGAATACTATTATGTTTACTGATGAGTCGCATCTCTGTCGGTATAACAAGAGCCGAAGAATCTAACGAGCACAGGGGCTATCCCAGTTCGTGCCTCCTTCAGTGTAGTTTGGAGGAGGCGGGGTAACGTAGGATTTACACTGAAGGACGAACTGGACTCCGTACTGTTGAAGGCAACCTCACCGAACGTTATGTCCAAGAAATTATCGACGAATGCATCCCTCAAACCAGAGACCAGATGGTTCACTTATCAAACATAAAGGGAGAGGTGCAGAATCAACATACCTAAATTATGTATCAGCATCTCCTCCCCTCTTGGCAATAACACCTCCGTTTTTCAGGCGGAAATCTGGGCCATTAATGTGTGTTGTAAAACACTTATATAAAATAAAATTAAGGGAAAAGATATTAGAATTTTTTCTGACAGTGAGGCTAGTCTTAGGTCATTACAAAAAGATTTGTCAGCATCTAGACTGGTGGAAGAAACTGTAAATCTTCTCAATAGGATCTCTTCCAGGTTTGAGAACAAGGTAACCATTATTTGGATACCAGCACATAAAGGACACCATGGCAATGAAAAGGCGGATAGCTTAGCCAAAGAAGGCTAATACTGCGTTTGTCGAGCCATAACCGGTACTACCTCACTCTATGAGCACAGCGAAAGAGAGTATTAAAAACTGGAGTATGAAACAATTCCCTAAGGAGTGGAATCAATCCCCCGGACACAGGCAATCGAAAGAGTTTTTAAGGCGATTAAACCAGCAGAATCGAAATGGCTATTCTCTAACTCAAGTAAGGGAATTAGGAGGCTGATAGGTATCCTGACGGGCCACTGCCCACTGAGAAGACACCTCTTCGTAATGGGTATTCTACCAGATCCCTTTTGCCGTTTTGGCGAAATACAAGAAGAAACGGCAAGGCACTACCTCGCAGAGTGTGATAGGTATGCTAGGTCCAGATTTGAAATCTTTGAGGGAGAGGACATCACTAAATCACTCCCCGAGATTAAATGGTCCAAAATCTTGGGGTTTGTGACTAGGTCCAAGAGGTTTATGCAGGACACGTGAGCCGACCAAGTCCCGGACCTTTTAGGGATGGGGTACGAGTCTACCCAGGCATTTAACCCCTTTGATCTTGGTCGTCCACCCTGCATAATATGTATATCCCTCAAACCA